GTGTGGGGGGGCTGGGTATGTGTGGAGGGTGCAGGAGTCAGGGCAGGGGGCTGGGGGCATGTGAGGGGGTGCAGGAGTCAGGGCATGGGGTGTGAGGGGGCTGGGTATGTGGGGAGAGTGCAGGAGTCGGATGGGGTCGCGGGGGGGATGAAGGGAGCTGGGGTGCAGGGGTCAGGGCAGAGGGCTGGGTATGTGTGAGGGGGTGCAGGAGTCAGGGCATGGGGTGAAAGGGGGCTGGGCATGTGTGGAGGGTGCAGGAATCAGGGATGGGGTCGTGGGGGGGATGCAGGGGTGCAGGGGTCAGGGCAGAGGGCTGGGGGGTGGTGGGCTGGGATCAGGGGGGTGCTCCCTGCCCCCTGAGCGGCTCACGGCAGGAGGCTGGAGGGATACGCCCCGCTCCTACCCCGCTTCCCCCTGCCTCTTCTTCTCCTCCTTACCGGTCTGAGCAGCGAGGGCGCTGGGGCTGCTCTTCTCCCCTCCCTCGCAAGGGTCATCGTCAGCAGGGAGGGAGAGGAGGCGGGGCTCCATGCAGCACGCTGGGGGAAGAGGCAGGGGAGGGGGAAGCTTGGCTGCTGGCGGAGCCTGCCGTACAGCAGCAGCCAGCAGGACCAAGCTAGCTTCTGCCCGCTACCCCCGCCAGAGAGAGCGGTAGGCGGGGGGCAGAGAAGAGCGGGCTGGGTCGGGCAGAATTTTTAATGGCATGCTGCTGCCTGCCGGGGTCCGGCTCAGCCCGCTGTCAGGGTTCAGCAGCGGGCTGAGCGGGACCCCGGCAGGCAGCAGCGTGCCATTAAAAATCGGCTCGCGTGCCGTCTTTGGCACGCGTGCCATAGGTTGCCAACCCCTGCTATACAGCGGTGTCCCTATCTCCCCTCCCCTGAATTCATGCATTTGGGTGCTGTAGTTTTGGCAGTTGGGGTTTGACCACATGGAGCGTCTCTGTGCAGCCTCAGCCCTCTGTGAACCATGGGGGCTGTGTCAGCATGAACTTTATGTAGGGAAACCTGCTCTGCACTGTCAATTGCCTCGGAGCAAGTGGTGCATTTTTGTCCACACTGGGCAGGGGAACTGATGGAAGCACAGCTTCTGAAGAGCCTGGGGTCCAAGGAATAGACTAATGCCTGGGCTTTCTGCAGATGTCTCAAGATTTTACAGATCCTGGGACTTCTACAGAGTTGAAGGACTAAGCCCCTTACAAAGGGAACAAAATATTTATCCCTACAGATAGGACAGTTACATGGACATTTCATGTTGTCAGGGGTACTAGGTTTTCAACCTAACTTGGCCCTTCCTGAGACTTTTCATATAGGAGGGTATCAACTAGCACAAAGACATTCCCTTGAAAGCGAGTCAGTCTTAGTTACATATATGGCCCCCAGCACCATGGTATCTGAGCACCTCACACTCAATGATGACACCCCTGTGAGATAGGGAAGTGCTGTTATACCCATTTTACAGATGGGGAACTAAGAGGCTACATGACTTGCTCAGCTTTACACGGGAAGTCTATGGTATGGTCTAGAACTCGGCTCCCAAGACTTACGTGAGTGTCGTAGTCACTGGACCATCCTTCCTTGTCTAAGGTGGTAAGGCCACGAGAACTAATTGAGGGTTTGCAGGAGTGACCCACTCCTGTTGCACAGGTGGGGTTGGATGAAGGAGAGAAAACTAACAATAGTATCTCTTTTCTCCTGTCTCTCTCCAGGTGTGCTTTGTGGGCAGAAGCAATGTTGGGAAATCCTCCTTAATAAAGGCCTTGTTTTCATTGGCTCCCGATGTTTATGTCCGAGTGTCAAAAACTCCAGTAAGTGTCGTTACGGGATTCCCTCCATCTCAACTGGAAGCTCCTGCCAGTCAGGGGAGATGAGAGAAAGAGGGCTAACCTTAGCGCTGGGGTAACACAAAGCTCTGGGAGCGTAAGCTGGATTCTGTTCTGGCTTGTGCATCTTCAACAGAAATTTTAAGGTTCATTTGCAAAAGTCCTATTACTGGAAATATGAGGTGAAAAGAACCCAGCTTGTCTCTCAGAGCCCAGGGTAAGTTTGCAGGGCTAGCAGTTGGGAGGAAAAAAAGAATCTTATTACTCATAAATTGGAGCACACTTGATGTGCAGCCACTGGGACAAAACAAACACAGCCCTACCAAGCTAATTTGTAGTCACTTTTTGAGAGTAGTTTGGCACTCGGAGCTAAATCCTCCTGTTCAAGTAATGACTGTGGAAGGTCTTTGAAGCAGTGGAACTGTCGCAGTCTGCTCCACACAGAGAGAAGCATAGGCCACAGGGAGGCTGTGCAAGGGGTTGCCACCCCCTATGGACCCACAGAGGGAGACTTGGGGGCATGGCTAGTGATGCCGTGACAGTAGATCTATTGACTTAAACACTCACAACACAGGCTTTTTGAGTGTGTTACTGATGCTACTTCAGCAGAGGCTTCAGTGGTGGCTCTGGAGCAGCTCCCCAGGTATCCTGTGTCCTGCTTTCAGCATGTGAGGTGGGGAGAGGATTCCAACCCCCCCAATTCCCATCCACGGTGCCCAAACTGAGAACCTCCCGTAGGCAGAGTCTAGGTTCTCTGGCTATGTGTGAAGACCAGGATCCGTAAAGCAGTGGTTCTTCACCTTTCCAGACTACTGTACCCCTTTCAGGAGTCTGATTTGTCTTGCGTACCTGCAAGTTTCACCTCACTTAAACTATTTCCTTACAAAATCAGACATAATGTGCTGTGACACTTTTGTATTTTTATTACTGAAAAATTGCTTTCTTTCTCATTTTTACCGTGTAGTTATAAAAGACATCAACTGGAATGTAAATATTGTACTTACATTTCAGTGTATACTATAAAGAGCAGTATTGGTCCTGCTTTGAGCAGGGGGTTGAACTAGATGACCTCCTGAGGTCCCTTCCAACCCTGATATTCTATGATAAACAAGTCATTGTCTGTTTGAAATTTGAGTTCGTACTGACTTTGTTAGTGCTTTTTATGTAGCCAGTTGTAAAACTAGGCAAACATCTAGATGGGTTGATGTACCCCTGGAAGACCTCTACGTACCCCCAGGGGTATGCATATCCCTGGCTGAGAAACACTGCTGTAGAGTGTTTTCTAAAATCCTTTCTGATACCATGGCTAAATAGTATGGTAAGTACTAGTGTTCTGGTGGCACCTTAAAGGCTAACAGATTTATTTGGGCATAAGCATTGGTGGATAAAACACCTCTTCACGAAAGCTTATGCCCAAATAAATCTGTTAGTCTTTAAGGTGCCACCAGGCTCCTTGTTGTTTTTGTGGATACAAACTAACGCAGCTACCCCCTGATACTGCTCTAGGGTTGTAATTTCAAAAAATGTAAGTCCAGTACATCATGTGCCTACTGGACTCTCCTACATGGGCTCATACAGCATCTCCCTCCTCTCAACTACCTAGATTTGTGTAGTCACATTTAGACAAACTTAAGCTTGTGTATCAGTTGTTGGGATGGTATCCTGTTTCTACTAAACCATGAAGTGGTTCCCTCATTCAGTCAGCTTGTCAGTTACCCAGGATACATTACAAAGTCTATTCAGCGTTTCTAATGAATCTAAAACACTTTCCAGTCTTCTAGGCCCATCAGATTATTGGTTCTTGTCCATATTCAGCTCAGATTTCTAATGTTGGGCATAAAGTACCTTTTAAATAATCCCATGGCCATTTAGTAATATTTAATAAAGCCCAACCTTTCTCTCTCCAGGGCCACACAAAGAAAATGAATTTCTTCAAAGTGGGGAAATACTTTACGTTGGTGGACATGCCAGGCTATGGCTACCGAGCCCCGCAAGACTTTGCTGACATGGTGGAGGCCTATTTACAAGAGCATCAGAAGTGAGAGAGCCATTGCATGCTGTCGTGTTTTACCTGCAATCTCACAGTGCATCAGAACAGTGGGATGTTTGCGGAGATTATAAAAAGGTGGAAGAGTTAAGTGTAGATATCAAGAAGGCATTACCAACAATGGGGTGGGATGTATTAGACCACGGTATAGCTTCCAGAGTGAAGTGGTGGCATTACCATTGTTTGAGTTCTGTTTTGAAGCTTGGATGGATCAAAGCACTGGAAAATATTCCCCTTAGGTGCTATCCTGTATTGACTCCTCTCAGGATGAACTAGATAAGACTAATTCTCTTTTCCCATCTCTAAATCCTATGAGGAAGCGTCTCAGTTCTCATGCTAGTTAACGTAGAAACAACCATTGTTGCATTGCCCCTCACTTGTGTTACTATCTGTATCTTTGTTAGCTTGAAGAGGACCTTCTTATTAGTGGACAGCTTGGTAGGATTTCAGAAAGCAGACCACATTGCCATAGAAATGTTGGAGGAGTTTGGGATCCCTTACGTTGTAAGTTATACTTTCTCTTTAAAACACGAACCAAAATAAAAATGTAAATTGGCCGGGCTCAAGGGCATTCTCTAAATATTTTGTACCTTCAGCTAGACGAGTCTCAGCAGTAGAGCTCTAGCAGTGAGTTAAAGGTGATCTGCACAGGGAAAAAAATTGTCCCCCTTCCCCTCCCCCTTTTTCTTTTTCATACTGTATAGGGAGGCCTGAAAATCTTTTTTTTTTTTTTTAAAGGTCTGAAGTTTCAAAATTGACCTTATTTTTGGTGCCCAGTTTGACACCCTTAAAGAGGCCTGATTTTAATAGGCTGGGTGCTCAGCATTCATGTCCTAGTATCCCATTAGATAGGACATGGAGCAGTTTGAAAGCGGTGGGAGGGTGATACATCTTGGCCAACATTTCCAGGTTTACAGTAAAGCAACATTCTTTCCCCCCTGCTCCCTAAATCTTCTCTTTATGGATTTGTGCAGTTTGTGTTAACCAAAATGGACAAAGCTCCCAAGGGACTGTTGGTTAAAAATGTACTGGAGATCCAAGACTTCGCAGAGAAACACACTCAGGGGTGCTTTCCTCAACTCTTCCCAGTCAGGTAAAGCTCACTTCTACTGATGTCTTAATTTTAAGCACCTGAAAAACACCAAACTCACTGAAAGGTATGACAGTTTGGGAGACCGAACTCCTGTTTATGCCCAGAACAGGTACAATGGGCAGTGTCAGGGCAAGTTACCGTCATGCTGATCCCATCCTATCTGAGGGAGAACCCCCTAAAGAGGTGAGAGGAGAGTTCAGCTTTCAAGGCCCATTCCTCGTTTGGTCTTTCAGATGAGACTGGCAGCAGAGGCACAACATATGATGATGGGTTTTGTGGTGTGAATGCCTGTCTGAGACTACCGCACTCATTTTAAACAGACCATGTACGGGCAATAGCTTGGGACCAGGTTTGAAATGGTTGTGGCTTTCTTAGGCATACCAAGGATAGTATGTGCAGTTATGCTGCCCAATACAAATTAAGGCTACTTTGCGCTAAGACTGTATACAAAGTATCCCCTCTGCAGATGGGGGAATGGGCAGAGAGGCTAACATGCAGTTCTACTCTGAAAAAGGGCAAGCTAAAAATGGCATCTTACATAACGGCTCTGCTGCCTGTGTGTAACTTTAACTTCAATGTTCTTATTCCGGTTAGCCCTGCAGAGCCTGTACAACTGTGGGAGAGGGAGCTGGGTTCTGTTTTGGATCCAGCATTAGCAGAACAGGTAACCAGTTTCTGATTTCAGGCCCAGCTCTGCCCTTGGTTACATCTGTACCACCTCACTGAACCGAGCTGCGTGGTACAAATGTAACTGAATGGAATTTGGCATATAGAATCTTGTACGGGGGGTGGATGTGTTGGAAAGAACCCAGCTTGACTCTGTTTCTGGGGTGAGACTGTGGCAATTTAAAAAATCTCTTTGTGTAAATAGAGCAAGGTTGATGTTGAGCGTGTCAAACATGGGACCCCAAAATGCTGCTTTTACAGTGTCAGTTTTCAGAGTAGAACTATGCTAAGGCCTAGAGCCACAAAGCGATGTAGGCTCCTAAGTGACTTGGCCAAGGACACACAGAAAAGTTGTAGCAGAGTTTGAGATAGAACCCAAATATCCATTGCTCTGCATTTGTGAAGTCACTTACATCGGTGCAAAAGGCTACCAAAAATCAGCATGGTGTAATTTTCTACAGCCACTTGGTATGGGTATAAGTGACTACCCAAAGCCTGTGCTTTTAGTATCATATCTCCTCTCCGGGGTCGCTGCGCCCTTATCTCATATCATATGGGCTCGGAATTTTTTTATTTGATATTGAGCAGTGAGCAATTGTCAATTTGGGGAGATCAGCACTGGATTTTGTAAGATAACGTGTAAAGGAGTACACCAGTTTGTAACTGTCATGATAATGTCCCTTTATAATGAGATCCTGAATTAAGTGACGAGCCACAGCCAAGCTTCCATTGCTGAGCACGTTGTACCTGATAAAAGTTCAAATGTAGCTCCTTTATGGAGAAACAAAAATGAAATCCTAGGACACTGAAGTCAATAGGCCAGAATTTGACCCGTGACATTTAAATTAAGTGGTGTGTGTAACTGAGGAAAATCCTATGTAACATTTTTTCCTTGTTTAAAAAATATCTCAGCAGAGAGCCCTAGTAAAAATATTAAACATCACCTTATTTTGAACATGTCTTGTGAAGTTGTTAAACTTGTACTAAGGGTTGCTGAACTCTAAACCTCAGCTGCAGAGTGTAGCAACTCTGTTATTACTGCAGCAGTAAACTAAATGGAAGAATTTAACACCTAATTTCATTGGATAGAAAATGTTTAGGGCACCACTGAGCTGTAATTTCAAACTCTTGTGAAGCTGCATTTTTGCACCAGAAAGACAAGTACTTCCTTCTACACACAAAGCTAAGTGAAGAGAATCTGTGATGTACCATAACATTTTTTGCTGATTCCACTCTGTGATTGTGCAGTGGGTAGAGTTAAAGTTGCTGCAGGAACTATACATTTCCTGATTGTTGTGGGACTAAATTATTGATGTTTTAAAATGTATCAGAAACAATTGGCTGACTTTGAAGTTACCTGTTACTCCAAGGGACGGTGGCAGCTTAGCAGAATTAGGCACCTGCATTTAAAGGAAGCAAGGACCTGAACATGTAAATCTTTGTTTCTACAGTTCCATAGAGTATTCTGGCATCCACCTGCTGAGGTGTTTTATAGCCCATGTTACAGGAAACCTTCCCATGATGAATTCTTGACAGCCACAACTCTCCTGTTGTATTCTACTCATCCAGCACAACAGGTACCAACCATATTGCTCTGGACTTTGCTTTTTGCTTTGTAAATAAGATAAAATAGTGAAATTATTTTGAGGGTTTGTAACAAGTTTCCTTAAATTTTCATTAAGAAGTTAAGTGATTCATGCAGCAGAATGTTATCTATGATTTTGTAGATGCATTTATTGGTATTAATTTACTAGATTGACAAAAAAATAAAGGATTTTTGAAGCTTATGTTTTAACAAGCTTCCACTTGTTTCCCTTCCTTGTTATGAAGATAGCTTTCATTTAAAGCCTGCTTCACAATTAAGGCTTAGATGCTAGAACATAGCGGTATAGCAAGAGAAACGCCAACAGAGTGCATGTGGCCCTGGCTATAGCAACATTCTTTATTCACTGATCAGCTGTGACTGTCAGTCAATTTGTTTTAATACAGATAATATATGAGAATAGGGTCACCCTATGGAATTTGAACTTGTTGATGTATGTGTTCAGTTCTAAATTTTCATGCTTTCTTTAGTGGTGACAAGGAAGTAGCAAGAACACTCTTTCCTGCTGTATTGCTGTAGGGCTTCCTACCTGGAGGTGGAAAGGACCTGTCCTTTAAGAAGTTATGAGAGGATGATGGCTGAAAAGAAAGTCTGGTACATAAGCTGCATGGAGTTATGTGATACCTCCACTCTATGCCCCAAAAGGAAATTACCCTAATGTAATTGAGCACCAGTGGCTACAAGCTGTGAGGGCTCTCCACTACCCCATCAGTTCCTAGGAGAAAGAGCAGATGAAAAGCTGTGACTTTGTGAATGGTGAGAAGATGACGACTGCTTTGACAGCACTTGTTAATGGAGCACTCTGCTGGAAGAATTAGTACTTACATAGCTTCTATTGCCTTAGGCCTGGTCTACACTAGGCTTTTATGTCGACTTTAGCGCCGTTATATCGAATTAACCCTGCACCCGTCCACACCAGGAAGCCATTTAGTTCGACATAAAGCTCTCTTTAAATCGATTTCTGTAATCCTCCCCAACGAGAGGAGTAGCGCTAAATTCGACATGGCCATATCGAATTAGGCTAGGTGTGGATGGAAATCGACGGTAATAGCTCCGGGAGCTATCCCACAGTGCACCACTCTGTTGACGCTCTGGACAGCAGTCCGAGCTCGGATGCTCTGACCAGCCACACCCCCGGGAAAATTTGAATTCATTTTCATTTTCCTGTCTGGGCAGTTTGAATCTCAGTTCCTCTTTGGACATCGAGGGGAGCTCAGCAGCAGTGGCAACTATGCAGAGCTCTCCAGCAGAGATGGCCGTGCAATCTAATAGAAAGAGGGCCCCAGCATGGACTGATCGGGAAGTCTTGGATCTCATCGCAGTGTGGGGCGATGAGTCCGTGCTTTCAGAGCTGCGCTCCAAAAGAAGGAATGCTAAGATCTACGAGAAGATCTCCAAAGCCATGGCAGAGAGAGGCTACAGCCGGGATGCAACGCAGTGCCGCGTGAAAATCAAGGAGCTGAGACAAGGCTACCAAAAAACCAAAGAGGCTAACGGACGCTCCGGATCCCAGCCCCACACATCCCGTTTCTACGAGGCACTGCATTCCATCCTGGGAGCGGCCGCCACCACTACCCCACCCCTGACCGTGGACTCCGAGGATGGGATCATGTCCGCGGCCGGTTCCTCGTCGGACATGACAGCGGACGGGGAAGATGAAGAAGGAGATGAGGAGGACGAGGCAGTCGACAGCGCTGGCACCGCTGATTTCCCCGACAGCCAGGAGCTCTTCATCACCCTTACCGAGATCCCGTACCAACCGTCCCCATCCCTTACCCCGGACACAGAATCAGGGGAAGGATCAAGCAGTAAGTGCTGTAAACATGTAAACATTTATTTAAAACAGAACGGTAATATTTATACTATTAACAATGTACATTTATAAAAGTTCTGTAAACTAGTAAAAAAATAATCAGGTACAAAACAGGAATATTTACAAAGGTAACAAATGGGTTTTGCATGATTTCTCTGTCTTAGGCTCTTCTCAATTTAGTCCCAAGTATTTTAAAAAAATTTCACAATGTCCGTTACTACATGATTCCCAGGCCCAAGACGCTCCACTCCAAAGTCCCAGTGCACCTACGCGAAAATCCGGTCAATGTGGCCGGGGATCGACGAGAAATCCTCGTAGGAGAACTCCTCGTAGGTCTCGTGGAGGTAGAGCTCAAGCCTGTTGATCAGGTTCCGGGGTAGGGCGATCTTAGTGGGCCCTCCGTGGTAGCAGACATGTCCCCTCCACGCCACAATCAAGTACTCCGGGATCATCGCACGACATAGCATGGCGGCATACGGCCCCGGTTTCTGCATGCTTTCCCGCAGCATGCGTTCTCTCTGGGTGTCCGGGATCCTCAGGAGGGTGATGTCGCTCATGACGCCCTGCTTTGAATTAGGGAGGGGAATGTTAGTATTGGGACTGCTTTACAGCCACGCGGTGGAGGGAGAGGGGCAGCATACAGGGATCTTTCCCTGGGACAGCCGCGAGGGGGTGGGACAGGGGCAGAGTTGATGCTGTCCTGATTGCTGGCAGCAGAGACTGGCATTGCTTTCAATGTGAAAGGAGGCCAGTGCTACTGCTGGAGTTTTAAGCAGCCACAAGTCTGCGGCTTACCATTATTGCCCGCTCCAGAAGTTCAGGTCTCCAGCCACAGTTCTCTGAACACTCCAAGACCTCCGCAAGTCCACAGGCACTGAAGGCGACGGCCGAAAATTCGACCTTGTCCTGAGTGCGCATGTGAGAGGTTCAGTGCATGGTCTTGTTCACAGAGAAAGACTAGGTTCTTTGTATACAATTTCATTTATCTGTCTCAGGAATTCACTCCCTTTTTAAAATTCACACAGACACATCTGCGACTGTCTCCCAACCCAGCCTGTCAGCACACTCCCAGAGGCTAGCGCAGATTAGGCGGAGGAAGAAGAAGACGCGTGAAGACATGTTCTCAGAACTAATGGACTGCTCCCGAGCCCAGGCAGCCCAGCAGACACAGTGGAGGGAGAACTTGTCACAAATGCACCGAGCAGTCATGGAACGGGAGGAGAGGTGGCGTCAGGAGGACCAACAGGCTACTGAAAAGCTGCTTGGACTAATGAGGGAGCAAACGGACACGCTCCGGCGCCTTGTGGATGTTCTGCAAGACCGGAGGCAGGAGGACAGAGCCCCGCTGCAGTCTATCTGTAACCGCCCTCACCCGCCACCAAGTCCCACACCCCCCTCACCCAAAGTCCAAAGAAGGAGGGGCGGCAAGGGCCGTTAAAACTTTCAGTCAAGCCCTGCAGACTGCTCTAGCACTAGAAGGCTGACATTCCCCAAAATTTCATAAGCCCTTTCCTACCCACCTCACACAAGCCCCCGTCCAAGTTTCACACCCCACGTTTCATGTCTGGTTCGCAATAAAATGTTTGTTTCTCTCCATTACTGTTTCAGTCAGGTTCTTTTGAGGGAGAGTCTGTCTGGAGGGGGGGAAGGGGCTTGGTAATTGGACAGGACAGTGACCTTTAGCAGGGTACAGAGGCGGTGTCAGGTCCAGCATCAGGACACATACACAGTGCAGTCACTGGTTACCCTGGTCAGTCTGGGAGGTGTTTTTCATGTTCTGGGGGGGGGGGGGGGGTTGCTCTGTGACTTTGTGGCGGGGGAGGGCAGTTACAGATCTTATGCAGCGGTCCTTATCCTGGCTCACAGATCCACGCAGCAGGGGATATGTAACCCTACCCCCCCTGCCAGAAAGTCACATAGCCGACACATACACACAGTCCCCCCCAGGAGTGCTGGCAGGCTCCATTGAAATAACCAGTCCACCAGTGCGGAGCCTGTCATTCCGGGAGTTTAGAGGCATCATTTGCATCCGAACACTGAACCCGCCCCCCGCCACAGTCTGCGTCCCCGGTTTAAAATATTCCCGCGAAAACAGCAATACAGACAACGGTGTTCATTAATAAAATCGAAATGATTTTATTTTTTGGGAAGGGGAAGGGGGTGAAGGGGGTATGTAACTGGAGAGGATAGTCAAAATGAACTGGGTAAAGAAACGGGGGCAGATTCAGCTTTTCTGTCGACAAACTGAAAAGTCACTGGTTGCCCTGCTCACTCAGGAACCTAGCTTTCAAAGCCTCCCGGATGCACAGGGCGTCCCGCTGGGATCTTCTAATGGCCCGGCTGTCTGGCTGGACGTAATCAGCAGCCAGGCTATTTGCCTCTAGCTCCCACCCCGCCATAAAGGTCTCCCCCTTGCTCTCACACAGATTGTGGAGCACACAGCAAGCTGCAATAACGATGGGGATATTGGTTTCACTGAGATCACAGCGAGTGAGTAAGCTTCTCCATCTCCCTTTGAGACGGCCAAAAGCACACTCCACCACCATTCTGCACTTGCTGAGACGGTAGTTGAACAGTTCTTTTTCTGTGTCCAGGGCGCCAGTATAGGGCTTCATGAGCCAGGGCATTAGCGGGTAGGCTGGGTCCCCGAGGATGACTGTAGGCATCTCCACATCCCCAAGAGTTATTTTGTGGTCTGGGAAGTAAATACCTTCCTGCAGCCGTCTAAACAGACCAGAGTTCCTGAACACGCGAGCGTCATGAACCTTGCCCGGCCATCCGACGTAGATGTTTGTAAACCGTCCCCGATGGTCCACCAGTGCTTGCAGCACCATTGAAAAGTAGCCCTTTCTATTGATGTACTGGCTGGCCTGGTGGTCCGGTCCCAGGATAGGGATGTGAGTCCCATCGATAGCCCCACCGCAGTTTGGGAATCCCATCGCGGCAAAGCCATCTATGATGACCTGCGCGTTTCCCAGGGTCACTACCTTTGGGAGCAGTACCTTCACGATTGCCTTGGCTACTTGCATGACAACAACCCCCACGGTAGATTTGCCCACACCAAAGTGGTTCGCGACTGACCGGTAGCTGTCCGGCGTTGCAAGCTTCCAGAGGGCTATGGCCACTCGCTTCTCAACTGTGAGGGCTGCTCTCATCCTGGTATTCTGGCGCTTCAGGGCAGGGGACAGCAATTCACAAAGTTCGAGGAAAGTCCCCTTCCGCATGCGAAAGTTTCGCAGCCACTGGGATTCATCCCAGACCTGAAGCACTATACGGTCCCACCAGTCCGTGCTTGTTTCCCGGGCCCAGAATCGCCGTTCCACGATATCCACATGCCCCATTGCCACCGTGATGTCCTGGGCGCTGGGGCTCGTGGTTTCTGACAGCTCTGTGCTACTCTCCGACTTCAGGCCATCACGGCGGTGTCGTAGCCTCCTCGCCTGATTACTCTTCATCTGCCTCAGGGAAAGGTGTATGATAAGCTGCGAGGTGTTGAGAACGGCCACAAGTGCAGCGATGGTCGCAGCGTGATCCATGATCGCAGTGCTGTGGCGTCCGCGCTGTCACTGACCAGAAAAGTGCGCGAACTGATTTCCCGCCGGCGCTTTCATGGAGGGAGGGAGGGCGTTAGTGACGGACGGATGACGACAAATTTTTTTTACCCAGAAGGCATTGGCGGCTCGACCCAGAATTCCGATGGGCAGCGGGGACTGCGGGAACTGTGGGATAGCTGCCCACAGTGCACCGCTTCCAATATCGACGCTCGCCCGTTAGTGTGGACTCACAAAGTCGAATTACTGTCCTTAGTGTGTCCTTAGTGTGGACACACACGTTCGACTTTGCAATATCGATTCCACATATTCGATTTAAGTAAAATCGAATTAACCTCGTAGTGTAGACATACCCTTAGAGAGCAAGGCCTGAGGATTTCAAAGGGGTGGAGGTTACCTCTCCTTTTTGCACTGTGTTCTCTTGCTTAGCACAGACTTCATTGTGGACCTCTCAAGGAACAAACCAAAATTCTAATGTGATGACAACTGACCATAAAGGAGTGAACTTCCATGGCAAATGAGGTACATGCTGCATATCTGGCCCTACCTTGTCCCTCAGTGTCAGCCTCCTATTCTTCAGGGGCACATAACAGATGTGGAATAAACTTCTCACACTAAGTTGCATCTGTCCAGCAATGCCCACTAGATGGCATAGCTGTAGTGTTACTGATGGGTAAGGTTTCCTTCCCAGAAGATCGCCCATTCTTAAGCTCCGTTTACACTGGTGGGGTGTGGAGTTGTCAAGGCTGTATCCCCACTTTGAACTTTAGGGTACAAATGTAGGGGCCTGCATGAGGACTCCTAAGCTTAACTACCAGCTTAGTTCTGGTCCGCTGCCACCATCCCAAAGCTAATTCCCTTCCCTGGGTAGCCTTGAGAGACCTTCACCAATTCCCTGGTGAATACAGATCCACACTCCTTGGATGTTAAAACAAGGAGAAATTGACCCTTCCCCCCTCCTTCCTTTCACCAA